GCCTGATTATTACACATCACCTTCTGTGAAGATGTTTAATTCATGATTAAACTAAAAACAACTTGGGATGTGGGTTATTTTTCTCCAAGGGCTCATTTCACCGAATGTGGCTTTGCAAGGTAAACCAAAAGTACGTTGTTTAATGCATATTAATAGAAAAAAGAAATCAATCTTTAATATATCAAACAATTCCAATCAACAACCAGTTCCTTCTTGTTATTTTTGAAAGGGCAGGAACAAATTTATACAAAGACCCCTGATATTTTGTTTTCCATATTTGTAAATTTTTGTATTACAGGTCTGAAAGTGACTTACAAAGCAATACCGTGAGGAATTCATAGGATAACTAGACTTAAATAAATTCTAAAAGATGCAGTCAATTTTATAAGTCCTTGACTTGGTGAAATGCCTGCAGTAGACCTGGAATGAGTCCAGGTTTTAACAGAATTAATCACCAACACAAGATTGAGGCCCGACAATAATAATTTAAAATCCTTCAGTTGAGAAGAAATAAATAGCTAAGCCTTGACTGTTAAACAGCAGCAATTTTAAAATTTACAGAATTAATAACAATGCAATAAGAATTAATAAAAATCAAATGCCATGCTTCATACTTCTTAAAGTGAATTCTCCTGTTTTGATTTGGCATGACACATTTACATTGCACTGCTGAAATGCTTATAAATTCCCAACCACTGCCCCCATTTTTAATATAGCGAGAATAGCAATACCACTTGCTCCTGAGGTGGATACATCCCGATTTCTTTAAAGGTTCTGAATTATTTTTATAGAATTTCCTGTACATAACACCTCTCAAATGTTGTCTGCGGCTTAATCAAATATCACTACAATCAAAGTTCATCTCAAAGAATCTCAAAGAAATCCTTATATTTTAAATTTAATTAAATTTAAATTTAATTTATTTAAGCTACATATCATATTCCTCGGAAATCAGTAGTCATACTTTTAGCCACACTAAGTGTAGGTAAGCCTGCTTTACCATACCATATGTACTGTACTATGGTAACATATGCCATATATTTCACCATACCACTGTACCATACAGTATGTACACTCAGAGGCCAGAATATTCGTACCACTGAGTCACATGAATAGACTATTCAATCCTATTGAAAACTGGTGGAACCAAGGGAACATGCAGTTCAATCAGTACAATCCGTCACCTCACTACGGTTAGAAATTGAATAGAAAGAACTGAACGGGTCACCTTGTGGAATACATTTTTGTCCAGTTGGAGCTGTTTTTTGCCACCTGCAGGAGCCTGATAATAAGATAAGATAAGATCACTTTATTGGTCATATACAGTTTCTTGCATGAGGAATTTGTCTTTTTCCCATACCCCAGCTTGCTCTCCATGAGACACACAGACAGAGAGACAGAGAAAAGCTTGGGGTCAGAGCTCAGGGTCAGCCATTGTACAGCACCCCTGGAGCAGTTGGGGTTAAGGGCCTTGCTCAGGGGCCCAACGGAGTAGGATTCCTTCGCCGGCTGTGGGATTTGAACCGGCAACCTTCCAGCCACAGGCACAGATCCTTAATACAGGGGATATTTTAAACTTCACAGTTCCTGGAGATCTCTTTTTCCTTAGTAAGACCTCCTCACAAAAATATTTCTTCTATAAGAGACAGATCACAGGATTACCTTAATAGTCCTACAATTATCTCCAAATCAAAGCATGATACAGTGGCAAACCCATTTTGCTGAATCTATCATGTGTAATGTTTTTAATGTTCTGCTAGGAACCAACAAAGTCTAAATAACTAAAATGTAGTCGTAATCACATTAGATTATAAACCTTTGCATGCACTAGAATATAATTACCAAGTGAAGGAACATTCCACAATGTTTAATTCATATCAATACATCATTAAATTGATCAGCAGAAATATTAAATTGTTTTTTGTTGTGTTTTCTGAAAATAGAATTTGGATAGCATTTTTGACAGAGAAATTCATAATTTTTAAGGGAGGCTATATAGATCCCATACTGTTCGACATCTGGATTACTTCCTGTATATGACTGACTCTTTGTATTGCGCACATTGATGAATCATCGCGGCCTTTAAAAAGCATTAACTTGTTTTCAAATGTAATTATGAAATTGCTGTTTTACTGGAAACCTGTTTGCTTTTCACTCAAAAGTGGGTTTTTAAAAATAATTTAAACGTGATTGAGGTGTTTTGGAAATTTATTACAGAGTATTAATTAACATAAACAATTTGTTTTAGAGAGCTATTATCACAGTTGCTGTGTTGTTCTTCCTGCTCATCACACAATAAATAACACCAGTTGAAAGAAAGTAATTAAGTGGTCTTTTAGAGAGAGTGATTTTGAGATGTCAGTGAATTGGAGTCTGTAAAAATTAATGAAAAAAAAATCTACAGATGTTTGTCCTTGTGAAAATTACAACTGTGTATGCAGTTATTGGCTCCATTTATATGAAGCAAAAGTAATTCACTAGTAAACATCCATTCAAGAAATATCCATCAGAAAACTGCTAATTCCTAGTAAGGTTTTTCTTAGGAGCATAAGACACAAATACTACACCCTGGATTGGATACTAGTACATCTTGGTTACACACAAATAAACAAAAAGCAAAAGCAGAAAGTGACAATTTTAAGACTGCAGTTGACTTTGTCAGTGTGTCTTTAGATGGTTGGAGCAAAATGGAATACCCAGAGAAAATCCCTGCGGAGACCATACAAACTCCACACAGAATGCTTACCCCTTTGAAACTGAAGGAGGACCCAAGAGCTACGAATCAGAAGTGTCATGCCTAAACACACAGCTAGTCTAGTACAGCAATGTGTGTTAAAACATTTTTGAATTTTCAGAAACAAGTATTGACAACCCCAGCCTCAAAAACTGTTAAGCACTAATTTAACTGTGATAAATATTGCCTGAAGCATTTAGAGGGATATCAGTTCTACAGTAAATGTATTGAACATTAGCTCTTGATGAAGGCATCTTGATTCTAAACTTAAATACATTTTCAAACAATTATTGCACTTATGCCTCTTAATCTAATTATTTTACTACAGATTTAAATATAGTACTGGTTGCTAAGATGCACAAGTGTTCAAAAGTTGGGGAATAGAAATCATTATCAAACAAATAGAATTTAACAAACACTATTAATTATTCTTGAACAGAATAATAATATCTTTGAAGGTGGAGGATGTAAATTTCTGATTATGAATTTGTCAGTAATGATGCCTCCTACATTTCTTAAATGTTAGCATTCTCTTAGGTGGTAGTTAAGATGCTGTACCTAAACATATAGTTTCAATATGTTCAACTCAAGCAAAGCTCTGCCTGTTTAGGATTTTTGAGGCATTTTATATAAAATCACTGAACATCCGCATTATAGCTCTGCTGATTTTAGCTCAAGCGTTTCCCTCCCCATCTGTGTGCCTGTGTGGGGTATGTGAAAAGACAAATTCCTAATGCAAGAATTTGAAGATGATTTATAAAGTGATCGTATCCTATCAGATCACATCACTTAAGCTGAGGGTAGGAAAACTTTTTTAACCTTGAAGGGTCCGTAATGGGTAATTGTGTAAATACCTTATATAAGTACTGAAACACAAACCAAAATCCACTGTAATTCTCAGTGTTACACACTGAAAATTGCAAAGTTAATTGAGAAATTTTAACATTTTTTCAAATTTCGGCCAGTATCTAAGCAGTGTTTCATTATTTCATCATTGTTGCTACCCACATGAGGTAAAAATTAGTGTGGTTGCAGTGTGGGGCTACGTATAATAAACAAGGAATCCTGCACAATGAGAAACCAAAACCTTTTTAAGCTCTAGTCCTCACTATCCCAAGAGAATTCTCTGTTTCTCTGCCAGAGTCTGAGATTCTCTGCTTGAAACTGGAATTTTATAAAAAAAAATCAATCCTTCAGAAAACATTCCTGAAAACCCAACCTCAATCCTATTCTGGACATTCGTCCTGGAAGCTTAACCGTTTTTTCCCCCCCCATTATCTCTTCTTCGTAACTTTCAAAGAGTTTAGTTGGGTGAACATGCAGTACTGACTAATATCAAGTCAAATTTAAAAACAATATTTATAAATTTAAATTACAAAGAGGCTTTGTGTTTTCTCTCACAAGGGAGCTTTGTGAAGCTTTGGTTTGTCTACCAGATCTACATTACCACAAATATTGCTTTATTTAGAAAATGTCCTTACCAGGAAATACACCTTTCGGTGAATTTTTAGAAAAATATGTATATGTATTATGAATTCATCAACAGTGTAATTTATGTTTTTCTCCTCTTTTTGACTGGTGTACGAAATTATACTGCTGTTTGCTAGATAATGCAAAATATTTGTTTAAAATCAAACTTTTTAATAGAAATTAACTATTTTACTATGGTGAAAGCAAACCATTGCTATTTTCTCTCATTGATCACGTTTTCATTGTTTAGCAAACCCAAAGTTTCTAATTTTTTCTCATGATTATTTTTTTATTTACAACGTTCAGCTCAGTTATGTTTCTTCTTTATTAATTTAACCTTTATATCAATTAATAAGCCCCATCGGAGACCAACTTTAAACACGAAAATGTGTTTTTTATTCATCTGTGTCTCAAACGAAGGTTGTTTTCCCATTAAAGATGTGCTTCTTTTCGACCTGCTTAACTCCGCATTTCATTACACGCCAGCAATTCTTGTCTGCTGTAATTGTAATAGAATTGGACGTTTATGAGAATTTCCCGCTTCACACTTCCAGATGCCGCATGTGACACTCTTAGGTATTATAGCTGAGAAACCAAAACGTCCTGTGCCCGCGGTACATCGTACGAGATAAAGCTTTCTGAACTAGTTTCTAAAATTATTTTCTAGTGCTTCATTATATTCCAGTAACAGTAAACATTTCTCAAGTGAACTCTGAAACACAATTTAAAAAAAAAAATTACGCCCCCTTCCTATTTTATCATCTGTCTCGTCACGCTTCTATAACACGTTTCTGATTTTTAGGCAATTTGTCTCTAAGTGTCAGGCTAAAGTAACGGTTATTTTCTCTTTGTGGCTGAGCATTTGCGGTGGAAGTATAGCTCTGCACACCAATTAAAGTGATATAAGGCTGAAAAGCAGGAAAACTTTTTTAAAAAGCAGCAGCGCAATTCTTTCAAAAGTGGATGGGGTGGAAAAGGAGAAGGGGGGCGTCTGTTGGCAAGGCAGGCAGCTGCTTAACCACCTATATGCTAACAAGCCTTGCTGCCAGGTTCCTGAGGGGTCCTAACTGGGAAAAATTAAAACCAAACCTCAGATGCGTGTGTCTCAGCTTGCGGAATTCTAGTTTTCCAGTTAGTCCCGAGAACGGACAGGAAATGACCCCTCTCCAAAGTGCTTCTCTTAAAACAAACAGTACAGCCTGAAGCTATCCGGTCTCTCTGTCTGTTCCTCCCTCTCCTGCTGTAGTGCAGCGGGGCTGCTCAGCAGTTCTCAACGTGTGCCGTGTGTCTGCTGCTAGGATTGGATACTGGGTAGCTGGCAGTGTATACAGAGCATCGCAGTCCATGTGCTCTGTATGGATGTTGATGTTGCGCTGTGTAGCTTGAACCTCGGCGAGCAGGCAAGATGTCCAGCACACCTCATGATCCTTTCTACTCCTCTCCTTTTGGACCTTTTTACAGGAGACACACGCCATACATGGTACAGCCAGAGTATCGGATCTACGAGATGAACAAACGGCTTCAGTCTCGGACTGAGGTGAGTCCTTCGCAAAAGCTGCTTTGATGTTTATCAAGTGTTGAATGCGTCTTATTTGTGTGTGTGTAGCTGCTGGAAGGGAGGGGGGTAAGGGATTTTTTTTTTTGGAAAAGGTAGGACGCCTCAGCTCACGTTTTATGGATGGAACTTAGAAGTATTTAACTACGAACATTGATGATGTTCATTTTTTAGCTGTGCTTTCGATGGGGCTTGTCTGGGTAGAAACGGGTTCGAGTTTTTTCTCTTTCTCTCTGTCGTGAACTGTAGGGGAATTTCAAAAACGAAGTGTTAGAAAATTCCGCAGAGGTTTTAGGTGCTCAATTGGAGCCTACTCTTTTCTCCCTTAAACGTAGCCTGTTTAGTAACCTTCAGTTGCCAGCTCGGGATTCTGTAGAAATAACTGTAAAACTGTTTTTTTTTTCATGGTTATGAACCGTTTCAGATAAGAGGCGTTCTTTTCTGCGTATAACTTAAACGTGACCACAATGAATGTAAGAAGTTCGGTTCAGAAGTTGCGTTTTTCATAATTTATAAGCTATTTCGTTTAAATAGCTCAAGTGGGGCCAGCTTATCAGAACCAAAAGTTATTAAAACGTGGTTTACTGAAATACGGGAACAGTGATGTACACCCAAGGCAAAGATTTGTATTTTATTTATTGCCAGCATGGTAAGTACAGATTTTCAGAGTAGAGGTTGGAGGTATGTCTTTCTGTACAATCGTATATATGTCACCTCTTCTTTAAGAGCTACATGGTATCTAGTACAATTACTACTGGTGTCACTTTTAGTATTACATTCATAATACATTAAGAGTTGTGGGAGTATGGAACAAGTTAAGGCCAGCCATGTTGTTGAAGCTGTCTTCTTCCATGAAACGGCTGGATTAGATCCTTGGATCAATTAGCTACTGAAAACCATATGAGCTGAACAGGGTGAAAGGCCTTCTATCATTTTAAAAACTTTCTTGTTCTTTTAAAATGTTTAAATCATAGAGATGGGTTAATGTATATTTTGGGAAAAAAAGTAAATCACGAAATGTGTTACTTGCTAACAAAGAGAGAGTTAAATAGTTGTAGAAGGATGTACTAATAGATCTGCTTAAGTGGGCATAAATGTTATTTGTACCTAAAGACCATATGACTGGAATGAATTATCCTTAACTGGACACACATTTTTTGTAATACTGGGATTTGTGGAAGAAAAAATGTCTAAATAACTTTGCAACAAACCTTTGTTAATAGACTGCTTTTATTTATTGATTGTACTTCCAGTTAAATAATGTATATATGTACAGTTAATATGTATTGATTTGTTGATTTTTATAAGTTACTGGCTGGTGTCCCTTAAACAAGTATAATGAAAACGAGTAAAATAAATTGCACTGTACAGATACACCAATTAAAGTCTGTTTATGTGGACTAAGAAATAATTGAGAAACCAAGAAAGTATCATGCATGTAATTTTAATATGTTCCTGAAATTTTAATTTCAGCTTTGGTAAACTGAATATGGCGAAAACATCTATGTTCATGAAGTAAAAACTGGATGCAAAGTACTATAAGAATTGTACAAAATTCCAAATTAAGTAATACATTATAATTGCTACCTGAAATGCCATGTGTGAAAGATGAAAATCTAAAACGCATTGACCCACTGATGTTGCAATCATTGTTGTGTGTCATTTTAAGCACTGATATTAGTTAAGAAAACTTAAAATTAAGTCTAAATATTCAGAATTTTCAAAATGCCCTTATTTTGCTCCGTGTTTCTTTTCATACATTTATGAAAATTTATTTCTTGTATTATTTCTCCTTAATAAAGGTGCTCTTTTAAGCTTGCATTTCACCTTAAGAAAGGGTCAACATATGGTGACCTGTGGAGTTAATGGATTCTTTATGGTGAACCTTTTCAATATATTTTTTGAAATGTGTTGGCTTAGTAGAGTTCTCTGTGCATTCATGAGTCTTTTTCTATCTATTAAGTATATTAAAATATATTCCTGTATTATGACTGCTTTGTTGAAAATGATATGCTTTTCCTTGTGTCTTGGTTTTGCATTAAGTCAAAGCATCATGATTTTTAATTTGTATGTATTTTGTTTGTTCATATTTATCAGGGAGACCTTTTACACTTAAGGGACTAGAATTATATTTTTGATGTTTTAAAAATGACCCCCACTTTAGCTCAATTTGAACAAAGAAGACTAACATGGAGGCCAGTATATTTGCTGTGGGAAAAAAATGTGTAAAACATTTGAGGTAAATGTGTTTTCTTACATAATTTGGATGCATAGTGTTTTCACTGAGGTCTGGATGAAAGTGCCAGCGCTCAGTTGTGATGTACTAATGTCCTAACATTGTACAATATTATTCCCACCTGAATTCAACAGTTTTTAAAAAATATGGTGAAATTACTCACAAAATAGGTGAAATTATCGACAAACCGCCTTTCAGTTTTAGTAGGAGAAGGTTTATCATTAGTAATAAAATTATTTTTTTCTATCACCCTCTTATTTTGAGTCAATAGTAATTTGTTAATCTTGCTTCTTATTGAAATTTACCAGCATTCCCTTTTTAGCCATGAGTGTCACGCTGCTGAGTTCTCTGCTTGATTCATTTGCTACTGAAAACAATGCTCAAAACGTGGAAGTCACTAAATCTAAAACACAGTTTATACATAATGCCCTTTTTCCATGTTTTGAATGTTATCAAGTTCTTGTTTTCGTACTTTATGAAAGTAGCAAAAGATTAAGATGTTCATCGATAACAATCATGTTGTTGACACAAAAAATTGAGAGAGAGACTGTGTCTGTTCCAACATCTGAAACGACTTACTGTTACATCAAGAAAAGGGTAAGCAGGGTCTTCTACTTTGATGTGTAGCTCTGAAGTTGCAACAAGAAAGCATTGTTCCACATTATTTTATATGCTAATTTGACTCTGGAACATATACTGTTATGTTAGCTGTTTAGATGTCTTTGAATCAGGTCACACAGTGGATTTAAAAAAGGATGATTTGTCACTCAGCAGTGTGACCTACACCAGGGAGGCTTAATCTGTGCTACTTTATTTATGTCAGTAGCAAATGGTATAGATTGCTTTTGTCACTTTTGTACAGGGGTCAAAACCATATGAAAGTTAGTAAATAGCCTTTAGGAAAGGGGTTCAGCTACGCATTTATTTATGAAAGGTGGATTTATCATATCCACATAGAATTGAATTGTATGTTCTTAAATGTATGCTGTACATTTGAAACATATCTCTATTAGAAGCAGAGTTGGACATTTTGACATTACATTTGTGGTCAATTTTCAATATTCAGGATACTTGCATTTCAGACATTCTCTATCTGTGTGCTGATGAAAACAGGTAAGCACTAACTATGATGCATGGTAGGGTAGATGAGTCCAGTTACTCAGAGGCTGAAAATCGTTGGGGATGGGTGTCACCATAAACCATATGCTATGTCATTAAAAACCCTTGGGAAAGGATGGAAATGGTAAATGGATGAGCATTTCTGACTTCACAAGAGGACAGTGAGTTTAATATAATTTCAGGGTTCCCCTAGTAAGCCACCACGTTATTCATGATTGGGATATGAAGACCAAATAGAAATTGTTTACCAGTGTATGCCACTACCAAAACCTTTTATCAGGCCTGTTAAATCTGACCCTAGTGTGTCTGAAGGTTTCAAAGGTCTTTTTTTAAAAGCAGCAGCACCTGAAGAGCAGGGAGAAGTCGGTCTGCTGAAGTTTATTATGATGTGGTTAAAGTTGTCAAGAATTGCAGCGATATCTTGTAGACACACTGGCTCTTTTGGACTAGGATTTGACATCTCTGCCTTACGCTGTTAGGCTGTATCATGTGCATAGCCCTATTACAGAAAATGAAAGACAAACCTTGTAAAGAGGGAGTAAGGTAATAACTTATATATTGAAAATTGTATATCATTTCTTTAAGGTTTTTCTGGATAAATGCATCTTATTTACTGCGGTAGGGGTTATTTTTGCTTCCTTTTCTTAAATATCATGAAGTTTCCTTAAATGGCAGGTTTAAAGTAAGTACACTCCTTATTGCCATGCCATTCCATGCTGTTTTGAGATTTTGCAAATAAAGCATTCATTGATTTATTGACTTATTGATATGGTTATGTATATGTATCTTTAAGGAAAATTACAGTAAAACAAAAACTATAAAAGTACACTACATCTTTACACTACATATAAAGGCAAAGACTGTAGTGTACTTTTAAAGTTTTTGTTTTAATGTAATTTAGTAAACTGCAACTTTAAGAAGAGGAGAGCAGTATAGATACATTGGGACAACATAATGAATTATTCAAAAGAAGTGGTGCAAGCCCCTGAAGACTTATAATACTTTACATAACTTATGAAAGAAGCATTAGCACTGGTATGTTAAAAATATCGGGGGTAGGAATATTTTTTTTCTTCTAGATTAGTGTATTTTTAACCAGATTTCCTCTTCACATGGGTATTGAAGGCAAACTGAAATATTATTTTGGATCAGAGTGTATTTTGCTGCCCCAGGTAGACTGCCATATGAGTTGGGTTTTTCCATTCAGGATAAATTAACTTCATTTCAATAAAACAAATCTCTTTCTTACAGAACACAAACCCCCTCCAAATATAAATTTGTGATCATTTTATTTGGATTATATTCTATATTGTACAAAACTCTCAAATATTGACCACCAGACTAAAACATACCCGTGTTAAAACGCCTATTATAAAGGAGCATATCTGTTATTCTTTGTGTCTTAAAAGTAATATCACACTAGACAAGATAAGACCCAATAACGCAACAACACCCAGATAGCTGATGGTATGGTAATTATTGTTACTAATGGGTTCACAGCACTGATGCATATTTGGAATAAGATAAAATAACAGTGACTTTGAGAACATTTGCAACATGTAATTCAGAACCAGAGCTATCCTCTCCACTTCTTGTTGTTAAACAAATTTAAGAACCCAGCAGTAAC